ATCAGCTTATATATGTAGAATTCTTGAATTCTTATATTTTATAAACAGATTTGCTATAGTGTTGAAGCTTGATGAACAGCATGATAGCTGCATCTAAAGCCCTTAGCTTGCATCTCCTAAAAATGCTGAAAACATATCACTTATGTTGCTCTTGAGAAGGCTGATGCCAACTGTTTGGTTAACAGACCACATAATAAACTACACTAAATAATGTGGTGTATTGCTAACTGGTGGTCAACTTGTTACACCAGCTGAACTGAACTAGAATGGTGCTGGGTATGGGAGGCCCACTTGAGGATTGTTGCCAACAGCATAAGAAGCAGAACTAGAGAAGCTGTTGGAGGCTGTTAGGGAAGCTGTTTAGGGAAGCTGTTGAAAGCTGCTGTTTCTCTTGGGCTGTTCTGCTGGAGGACTTTGTCATGCAGGTTTTCCTGATGGAACTTGGCTGTTCTCAAAGGAGGAATGTGGGGATTCTGTTGTCACTGAGAATGGCTATGGTTCACTTTGGGGGAGCTCTGGTCCTCACCTTGAGCATCTCTTCCTGGCCCTGGAGGAGAAGATGGCGCACAGCTTAGCCTCCTGGAGAAGCTTGTCCTGCTGGCTTTCCTGATGGGAACTTGGCTTTCCTCATCATTGGGGGAACTTGGGACCTCACTGTTCCTGAGGATGGCTGTGGTAGTTTTTCGGGGGAGCTTTGGTTTTTACCTTGAGTGTTGCTTCCAGGCTCCAGATCCTTTACCCTGCTAGAAAAGATCCTTCACCCTGCTAGCAAAGATCCTTCATCTGCTAGCATAGACTTTCTAGCTTCCATTCCTGACCTTTGTACCTTTCCAGGGTAGACCTGTGAAACAGGCCTGCACAAGACATTATTGTGGGTTCTAGGCCTCCAGTTGGACTTATAGGAGGCATTGTTAAGGGCTCTAAGTCTTCAGCTGGACTCATGCAGGACACTATTGTGAGATCAAGGCCCTCACCTGGATTCTTTAATCTTTCGTATGTGGACAGATTTCCTGCACCTCTTTGTATATGATTTTTAGGTGACTATTAAAAAACAACTGTATAAATTACTTATAGTGTATTAAATTGTTCTCATTTGCAAAACCCCAAACCACAACAAATGGATTTTAAGAAGTAAGAACAAATTTGAATACAGTTTTATAAACTTTGGAATCAGGAATTTGGAAAGGGTTTGGTTGTATGAGTCTTCTGTTCCACAGGACTTCAGGGGAGGTCACTGAGCACTGAGCTAATATTTGGATTGTTACAGAGTTTTGAGTTCATGCCTATGAGTTAGGATCACTGAGGTCCTCTCCTTCATGAAGACCTTTCTGTAGGAAATGAAATACATGAAATATTTCCCATTGCAGTGCAGAGATTTTTTAAAAAATGTATTTGGTACAGGGTCTCACTATGAAGCTCAGACTTGTAGTGATTCTCCTGTTTTCAGCCTTTCTATTGCTGGGATTACAGGCATGCACCACCATGCCTGCCCAGTTTCAGTGTCCAGCTCAGCACACCTGGGTGCAGGGCTGGTGTGGCATATGGTGCCAGGGATTGAATCCTGCTCCCTGAGCTTATCTAAACAGGCGCTTAGTCTGCTGAGCTATCTTGTCAGCCCTTGCAGTGCAGAGCTTTAAAGACAAGTGTTCCCAAAGACCAGGTAAATACCTTTAAGAGTTTGTCTGACTTGGCATACAGTCTACTGGTCAGACAATTCACTATGGTCATCTGGGGTCAAAGGAGTGACAAGAATTTGCAGCCTTCTTTATTGTATTGTAATGTAATTTTCCTACTTTTTTTTTTCTTTTATGGTACTGATGACCAAACCAAGAACTTTGTACTGAGCTATATGCTCAATCCCTTTCTATTTTGAGTTTTTTGAGACAGTCTTCTTAAATTGCCCAGGCTGGGCTTGATCTTGTAACCTTGATCTTGTAAGCCTCTCAGAGTGCAGGTATTATAGTCATTTTTGTTTTTTCTCCATGCCAGAGCCATAATCATAAAGTCCTGTTTTTAAACAATTTGATTTTTTTTGCCTGAAAGCCATAGGAAATATTATTGTCTATGATTATGACTATTGTAAAATAATTTTAATAGTATGGCTTTCCAAGTTGATTATTCTCTGACAGTTTCTCCAGGCAAGGGTGGATCCCTCCATTGTGTACACTTACATGTTTTTGTTTCTAGAAAGCTTCTTGGATTACAACTTCAACGTATGTGGAATTTCAACTAACACTGATGTACAATTTGCTTGTATTCAAATGACATTCTAAACTGACAAACAACATATTTGTATGTGGGTCAGGGCAAGTAGTAACACTCTAGGAGTTGGATAGTGAGTGTAAGAAGCCACAGGAGACAGAGAGACAGGGGAGAGAGAGATTAATGGAAGGTCTGTGTGACATGCTGTGCAGGGACACAATGGATGGTAAAGTCTTGAAAGGTTTTTTCCAACCTGAATATATTTTCTTTACCTAGTATATACAACTGAAAGGAAGAGAGGTTTGTTTTTGTCCACTGCTTCATAGGTTTTATTTAGTCCATGTTTAGCTGGCCCCAAAGCAGAAACACTGTGGTTGATGAGCCTGGTGGAACAAAGCCGCTCACTTCACAGTAGCCAGGAAACAGAGATCAAGTTGGAAAGAACACTGTGGAGAGATGCACTCCCAAGCACAGCCCTCACTGACTACCTCTCTCTGGGCCCCACCTCCTAACAGCACAGCCAAACTATGAACATCAGTGGGTTAATGTGCTGTGCAATACAGTGCCCCATGATCCAATTACTCTATAAAGGGCTAGTACCCTAGGCTAGGTGAACGAAGTTAAGAGGGACAGATTCTAAAGATATTTAAGAAGTCAAATTGACAACTTCATAATCATTAGTTGTGGCAGGGAGGAAAAGGTGAGAATCAAGTATGACTCCCAGGTTTCTGAGTTGGGCAAGTGGTACACAGTGTGCTAAACAGCTTTTGCCACATGGAGCTTCAGGCACCTCCAGATATCTCGGTAGACTTTTGTGTATGTGGAACCTTAGAGAGTGGCCCTTCAACAGCTGCTGATTTAGATGTCAGATGAAGACCAAGTGGATAAAGTGGCTTAGGGAAAATATGCATAATGAGATGAGCTGAAAACAGAATCCTGGAGACTTAGGAGCAGTTAAAGAGGTTAAGAGAGGAGTCATGTCTTGAAGGTAAGGAAGTTTCAAAGTGTTGCCAAGTACCTGAAAGTTCTAGTAACATGAGAACTTAAAAAGGGACAAGGGTATTTAGGATCAAATCAGCTCTTAATGCAACCGGGTCATAGCCATGAGTTGAGGAGTGAGAAGCTGATAAGGAGAAGCGCATAAAGTCAATAGAGGATGTGGTAACATGAGTGAAATTTTTTTTTCCTTTTTTTTGAAGGACAGGCAAGGCTTGAATAGGTTTAGATGATGCTGAAAAATGACAAATAGGCAAGAGAAGTTGGGAACCTGGGAATAAGAGAGGAGAATGAGTGCAAAATGTCTGAAAAGTGTTCTGGGGATGTGGAAGTGATGAAACAGAAGAGATGCTAAGACCAGCGTGTATGAAATAGTTAACTCCCAGAATGGTTTGAAACAGCCCAGCTTACATTACTGAAATGAATCTGTCAATGCAACATTTACATATTTATTTTACATCACTTATGAGTGTGTTCTTTTCTCCTGAGTGCGGAATCAGTACTTACCTTTTCAATGTCTTCCCCATACTGGGTGGTCAACAAATGGCAAAAGAATAAACTAGATACCTCACAGGTGTTTTCGGAGTTTGTTCACATGGTCAGACCACCATCAATATCTTTCATAGAAACAAAAGCATCCTTTCAAGCATGCAGAACATTTACACAAATCATGCCTGAAAGGTGAGGCACTACTTTTTTTTTTTTTAATTTGTGTGTGTGTGTGTGTGTGTGTGTGTGCGCGCGCGCGTGGCCAGCTCAGCCCACCAGGGGGCGGGGCTGGCTGGCATGTGGTGCTGGGGGATTGAACCACGGTCCCTGTGCTTTGCTAAGCTTGTTCTAAGTAGGTGCTTTAGACCACTGAGCCATCTCACCAGCCCCGAGGCACTACTTTTGAAGACCCTACTTTCTTGTACTTAAAGCTAGTTTATCAGCATTTCCTCCACTATGAGTCTAAAAATAGGAAGATGAGAAGGAAGACTGCAGCAGGTGTGGCACCATCAGCCACAGCACAAGGTGCCAGAAGTAGACAAAGCACACCGGCCTGGGGAGGCTTAGTTTATCAGTAGCCCTTAAGGGATGGTACTGTTTTGAGTCTTAATGTGGAGAAAAAAACCCCCAAAACCAAACAAACAATCTCCTCCATTAAAAAGCCCTCAGCTGTGTCTAATTTGGCATCATCTTTATTTTACATATTTGGGATTCTGTAAAAAATGAAAAAAGGTAATGAGCTGGTAAACCCTGGCAAACACCCTCGGCTGTTATGCCCAAGCCATGTCCCAGTTGCGAAGCTCTTTTTCTCCTAAGGCTTCTTCCTCCGAGGCCCCTCTGCCAGCCCTCCGCTGGTTCAAGGGAAGCCATCCCTTCCTCCTCATCCTTGCGCGGGGTCTAGGTGAGGCTTGGTTTTGCACGGGTCATCAGAAGCGGCAGACCGAGGTGAGACGGCAACCGGTACCACGCTGCACCTGGTGCGGTGCGGAACGCGGGCCGGTGCGCGAATCTGCCCAGTTAATTTGGAAAATCACCCAGGCCTTGATGCCGTTCTGCATTCTTTCTCTCCTAGTCACCAGGGCGGGTATCCAGCCGGCCGGGAGATACCTGTGGAGAGGAAGCGCACCCGGAGAGCGTGCGGCCTGGCACCGAGAGGTATGAAGCGCCTCCTCCTACGCGCCCGGA